AGCGAAGCTTCCGCTGCGAAAAATTATCGGCAAAGCTCGTTTGAACTACGGAGAAATATCGACAGTGCTGGCGGAGGTCGAAGCAGTCGTAAACTCTAGGCTTCTGACTTTCATCGAGACAGATGCAGAAGAACCTTGCACTTTGACACCAGCCGAACTTCTCCTTCGACGAAGGTTGACTTCCATACCGTATGCGACCGCTGACGAAGTCAACAGTAATTCCAAGCGAGCAGACGCCATACGCAGACACAACTACAGGAAGCTGCTGGTAGAAAGTTTTTGGAAGCGTTGGCAAAGAAAAATACCTGTTGCAATTACGATCTGCACACTTTGCCGACACGAAATCAACTACAGCATTGAAGCAAGGGGACATCGTTCTCGTGCATGCGGTCAACACGCCACGCCAGCTATGGAAGCTTGAAAGGGTCACGGAAATGTGCCGCAGTGCCGACAGTCTCATTCGTTCCTGCAAGATCAAGTTGCAAGGCGGTCACCTTGCGATCAGGTCGATACAAAGACTGTACCCACTTGAACTACGTGTTTAACTTAGCGCGGCCGGGAATGTCGATTATTTTTCACGTTCCGGGCTGGGACAAGGAAACGATAAAGAAGAAGAGCGCGAGCGATAGGAGAGACGCGGGGACGCTCAAGTGACAACAGAGCGCTTCCGAGCGCAGTTAAATAAACAAGTATTTTTTGCCTTATACCTTAAAGATAGAGTTGAGTCTGATCACAGTGTCTGGAACGCCATCGTCTGAAAAAGCCATATCTGTGCTCGAGGATTAACAGGAGGAATGTAGCCTGCTATAGGGCGCAGGTGTGGGCAACATTCAGCAGCTTGAGGAGTCATTATTTCGTTTCTGTTGCCAGGAATTTCGCTGCACTCCAGCAATAGCGGAGGCTCAAGGCTGATTTCTTCTGCAATGCCCCGGACCGAGAAACCTTCGGCCTGTCTTGCGTTGAGTACGGTAGTTCCTGCGCACGTTGTCAAGGTGTAGTTGGTTGGAGACCCCTCTACACGGAAGTCGTCCATTAGCTCAGATCTGACCATTTACCGATTGCTTTGGTCGTCAAAAATGGCATAGACATTGACCGTTTTGAGTGGCTGAGACTTGTGATTTACTTTCCCAAGGCAAATCTTTGCACACGACTTGCTCTCATCCCACCTTTTGTATACTTCAGTACGTGTGGTGGTGACATTCCCTGAAAATTCTTGAACGTCAGTTTTTAGGGGCGAAGCTCCTTAGGGCGTGGGCTGTGCGTCCCCTGTAGCCTGTATGTAGCCACCTCTAGTTTAGTTCTTGCAGTGTTCACTAGATGGCGGTACCGTCCCCTGTATGTAGCCACCTCTAGTTTAGTTCTTGCAGTGTTCACTAGATGGCGGTACCGTCCCCTGTATGTAGCCACCTCTAGTTTAGTTCTTGCAGTGTTCACTAGATGGCGGTACCGTCTCCTGTATTAAGATAGAATTTATTGAAGTAGAGGCATTAGGCCAACATAAAAAAAGAAAAAAGGTTTTTTTTTTGTCGAGCCTGGTGGCATACTTGTCACCACCCCGTTATAAAGGGGACGCTCATAGCATCCATCCATCCATTCATGTAGCCACCTCTCGTTTAGTTCTTGTAGTGTTTACTAGGGATGTCGCATTGCTTTGAAATGTGGCTTGTCGACTTGCAGCAACAGAAGCAAATGTCATGATCCTTGAGGAAATCCTTCCTTTCGTCGAAGCTTTGGTTGGCGAACGCTTTGGTTGGTGAATGCATGGTGACCATCTAAGAAATGGTTTTTTGTGTGTGTGGAACGGACACCAATTGTCCAAGCTCCGTGATTCCTTAGCTCTGTTGAAGCCCGACGGCACTGTATCAGTCTTTTCTAAAACCACATCTGCTTTCTTCTTCCTTGTTGATACCATTGCTCCACCGCAGGAGCTTCTCGGGACCTGTTCTCCTTTCTTCGTGTGGTGATCCGGCAAGCCATCGTTCGTACAAGAAAGCTGGGGTAGTTCCTCACCTCAGCCTCGTCCCTCACGAACTTCGAGAAAAAAAGAAAACGGTGGGACCGCCGTGTTGTTCTCTTTCTTGTACCTTGAGCCTGCGATGATTCATTTCTCCTGGAGACCTGGTAGGAGCTTTGGGACCATGCTGTTTGCGCCTCACGCAGTGTCGAAGTATTTCAGCCCTGTCAAATAGGGGTCCACTTTCGTTGCCTCCAGTTTGAGTAGCAAGTCGCCGAGTTCTCGAAGCCTCACATTGTCTCTTCCCGATAACTTTGGGGAAGCCTTTTAGCGTTCCATCAGCGTGTCCTCCACGACTTCATGACTACCGAAGGTGCTGTTCAATCTCTTCCAAACAGCTTTAAGGCCTGCTTTGAAGTCGTGTATGTAGACTCACTTCAGCCTATTGGTTTGAACTGATGACTCTGGGCCTAACCAAGCAATGGGTAAGTCAAATTCTTCTTGAGTGGAAAGTTCTAGGCAACGCGTTGTTGCTCCGAACAATAATTTCCATGCTCGAAAGTTGGCCGGACAGTCATTAAATTTAGTGAGGCTCGTAGAGAGGAGATCCATTCGGGAGGAACTTCAGTATTCCATTAGCTCGAAACTTGCGTTACGTGAAGCCGGAGTGTGTGCGGACAATTGGCCACCCTGCCGGACAGTCTGGTGTTCATGAACTGCACGGTCGCTCCGTTTCCCGTTGAGCTCGTCAGAGAGAGCAATGTCTGCTGTATGAAGCTCAGAATGTCGATGAATTGGCCTGTGCGTAGCCTCTTGGCTCTGCACATAATCTGCAGTGCGTTGTTCGGGATTTAGAACCGGCAGTGCGTGCAAGCTCTCTCCACCATCTTGCGCCACGGCCACCTCGCGAGCACCAGCGCACGCCTCAACCGCAGCTGCTTCCTTTTTATGACGAAGAGTTTCAAGCTCGGCGTCAACCTTGGCCCTCTCTAGCTTCATAGCTGCCTCCTAGCAACCGAAGTGAGCCCACGTTTTGGCAGCATCTGCTTCTGCACGAGCCTGTAGGGCAACCAGGCTGATAGTTGACGATTCGGTGAGCCGTGATGATGAAGAGCGCGTAAAGGGGACTGAGGAGAAACGCATCGATGGTGTCTCGTCTTTGACGCATAAATATTGACTCTGCTCTTTGAAGCTGTTCGTGACGAGAACGCGACGCTCTTCTTCAATTTTTCTACGTTGACCCAGCTCTTGTCGACTCTTGGGGCAGTTAGTCTTGACCAAGAAGGCTTCGTACCAGGCGAATACGTCCTTGTACTGCTCTAAACTATCGCACAGCTTATTGGTGGTCGTCTAAACATCTTTCTCATTCGTTCCGGAAGGCTCCCGCAAAGCGTACTCCACTTTATTCCATGCTGCCTCTAGTTCTCTGCAGTATTTCTCACGATTGGCCTCATAGTTCTCTTTGGCCCTTAAAGAAAGAGGTGCGGCTCGCCACGGTCGAGTGCCGGTCTCAGTGTTTATAACATCACCGGCGCCTGCTGCATCGGGTGTTGGTTTCATGTTCATGTCGGGCCGACTATTTATACAGCGTGCTCGTCGTGCTCAATGCGCGTGCTTGAAAGCGCGTTTACCCGGGGATGGGAATGTGAGCCCACCTTGCGTTGCTTGTGCGTCGGGAGCTCGGACGTCTGTTGCGTGCACCGCGATTGCTGATGGCGATTGTCTTAGACAAGTAGAGAAATACCTAGCCGTTGTGACGAATCTCTCAGCTGGCGTGCGTAGCGTAGATGTCCCGTAGGCTTTGTTTTCGTCCACAAGCTTCCATAGGAGTTCGGAGCGTGGAAATCTTGCCTCTTGCGCACTGGCGTCTGAAGCGTGAGCCTTGCCTTTTACTATTCAGGCCTGGAAGGCAGCGTTCAACGAAGTCGTAGCACACCTTTGATCCTGGTAGATAACGACAGGACTTCAATCAGGCTTTCTTTAATTTAGTAGAGAAATTACAATGATAGGATTACACCTCTTCTTGGTTTACATACTTTGGTTGCATAGTTCGATTACATGGTCCTTGCCGTAGAAGGCAGTGGCGTGCAACCAGCCGCTGCACTCAGCTTAGCTCAACCAACGCCTCCTAATAGAATTATGCCTGGAACGTGAGCCGCGAACGCGTTGCCCTACCCTCTGATCTTACCATCCTCCTTCGATACAAAGGCGAGCGTCTCTAACGACCACCCCCTGCGAACAAAGCAATGCTCTCACTGTTGCCTCCGAGTAGCCGTGATGTCACGTGACAGAACAGTACGCTAATGTCACATGACTGAGCGGTACGGAGGAGAGTGGTCTCACGCGGCGGCCGGTCGCAACACAAGGTAGGAGGCATGGACTCCGAGATTGCGTGCTGGCAGGAGGCTTCCGATTGAAAAGAGAGCGACGTTCCAGGCATAGTTTTTCTAGGAGGCATTGGTTCAACTGCAGATGTTCTTGAGACACTCTGGTGACATAGCTTCCCAGTGTTGCGGGACGATGATCCGTGTTGAGCCGGATGACGGCGAGAAGCACGGTTTTATTTTGGAACCCAGGACAGCGCATGAGCAGCAGAGCGTTGTGGTGTAGTCTTCCAGTGAGGCTGACATCGTGCACGACACTCCTTGGAGTTAAATTTGCTTTGCACTCGCACTTGATTACGCCTGAAACCGCCAATACTCTCAAACACGACTGCGCTGCTACACTCCCCATCCGCCTCAAACAAAAAAATGGCTGCCTTCCCAGAATGCATAGCGTCACAGCCCTTTACAGAACATTAGGGGTTCACGCGCACAACTGCAAATCACAAATAAGTTTCCACCTATGAATGCGCCTTCAAACACAGGGCGCGCTCGCAGTGCACACAACCACGGGCATTTGTCAGACATAACTTAGGCCCGTGACTCGGGCCATTGAGCTGTCCGTCCATCGCAGAGTTCTCGACCATTCCCACAAAGGACCGTTAATCAAAGAAAGCGTGGAGGCAGCCACGAGATCAAATGGGAAATTCAGGTATCTGTGAAAGATGGCGGCGGTAGGCAAGGTAGTCATCATTGCTCCTAGCGACGGCGTGACGCAGGTCAAGACCCTGGATGCTTTCAAGGTGTCGCGGGAGCTGAAGGAGGTGGTGCCCGGCGGAATAGGCAAGGTGCGTCTGAACCTGCGACTCAACCTGCTGGCCGTGGACACCAACTCCACGGAGGCGACAGCCAAGCTGCTCACCCTGAAGACGCTCTGCGCAATGCCCGTGCGCGTGCGCGAGCCGCACGCCTCGTATGGCACCGTTGGCGTGGTGTACAACATCCCGCCAGGCGTTAGCGACAGGCAGCTGGAGGCGGCCATACGTTGCCGGGCGCCCGTGGTGGCGGTGCGCGTGGCCCCGGGCGGCGGCCCGGCGGTCGTCACGTTTGCCTCGACCCACCTGCCGGCGCGCGTGCTCGTCGGGCTGGTGGAACACCGGGTGCACCCGCACGTCGAGCGACCGCCACGCTGCCGACGCTGCGGCCGCATCGGCCACATTCAGGTGGTCTGCTGTAGCCCGGCCACGTGCAGGCGCTGCGGTGGAGCGCACGGCCACGCGCTCTGCTCAGCGGCTCGGCCGGCGTGCGTCAACTGTGGTCAGAATCACGAGCCGGACTCCAACGCGTGTCCCAAGTGGAAAGAAGCTGTGCGCATCGCCAGGTACCGAAGCAGGCACAAAGTCGACTACGCAACGGCCAGGGCAGTGGTCACGCAACAGATGCCCAAATCGACCCGACGCGTCAAGCAAAAGGCAGTAGCTAACACCATCGACAAGCTAGTCCAAGCGCTGCTCTGGCTCTGCAAAAAGTTCCTGTAGATAATGCTCAATCGCACAACCAAATCAGTAAACCTGCAGATAGCGCCCTTTGCGTCTAATGCTTATTTCTGAAATGTGGACCTCCTGTTTATCGGTGTGCGTGAACAATTCCACGCAAGTCTTAGCCCGGAACTGCTGACGGTGGGCATAACTCATGGAGTTCACTCAGACTGACTCCTGAAATTATGCACTTTGAACTCACTCGTACTCAGACTCACCAAAATTTTCCTAAGCCGGACTCAACCTCACGAACATTTTCTTTATTCGAATGCACGGACTAAAACTTGCCAAAACATTACTCACCCGGACTCGTGGCTCGATCTGAGTGAGTGAGTCGGATTATGTCCACTCAAGAGCCCATTAGAGCATTCCCCGGAATAGTTGGACAAAGAGGGAATAAAGGCATTTCCTCCGCAATTCGCACTTCTGATGAATAAATATTGAAATGGTATCTGAACGAACACTATATTTGAATGCAATTTATGAGTGCTTACAAACCAGTAAGGTTCTTTTTCTTGGAAGAGATGACAACATAAGATATATTAGTCATGACATCCCCTGGAAGAGTTGGACAGGGCGGAGGGGAGTGTAAGGCATTCCCTTCGTTATTCGCGCCTTCAATGAATTAATATTTAAACGGTATCTGAACGACACTATTTTTGATTACAATTTATGAGTGCTTGCAAACCAGTAAGGTCATTTTTCTTGGAAGACATGACAACATAAGATATATTAGTCAGGGCATCCCTTGGAATAGTTGGACAAAAAAAGGGGGGGTGTAAAGGCATTCCTTCAGCGATTCGCGCATCTGATGAATAAATATTGAAATGGTATCTGAACGGCACCATTTTCGAATACAATTTAAAAGTGTTTGCAAACACGTATGGTCCTTTTTCTTGGAAGAGATGACAGCATAAAATATATCAGCGACTTCCCTGGAAGAGTTGGACTGTGGAGAGAGGTCAAGCGCCCTCTCCGTAATTTGCACTTCTGATGAATGAATACAGAAATGGTGTATGAACGGCACTACTTGCTAATACCTGTGAATATACGTCCATAGAGTAATATATAAAATATTAAGAGCAGACAGTCCCATAGGTCCCTGCATCTGATTTGGGTTCGCAGCGCTCCAATCGGACGTTGGGAACCTTTGGAGATTCCGAGATGGAAGAGCACAGAAAAGGATGTTTTGAAAGTCATTTTCTAACGACTAGGAATATTACATAGCCTCCGAGATTACTACAATGTTCGTGTTTGTCTGTGAGGCTTGTCTCTCTATTGTTATTATTACTAATATTGCTTTAACGGGTCGTACGCCACTCTGACTGGTCGTAGTTCCGAGCCAGTCAGAGCGGCTTCGGGCCAACTGCGTGCTTGATGCTGCCCACGTCCGCTGTGGCGTCAGCTATGCCATCTAGCTCGTCACTCGCTGCAACACAGGTCACAGAGGCGATCTAATTCAAACATCAACAAGAGTTAGACGGTACCCATTTCCATTGTGATGCAACTTGTTGTAAGTGAACTACTCAAGTGCACACACAACGTAGGCCCGCGTGGTCGTTCCACCGCTGTTTCTTCTGGCAAGTATCACGCGTTTTTGCCCGACCTTCGGAAATACGAACATGCTCGAGGTGGCTCAGAACGCTGACGACAAGAACTGGGTGCACAAACAATGCGGAATCCAGAAACATGCTAGAAGCGGACTGAAAAGTGAAGAGAGAGCAGGAGCGCATCGAATATTTCCTGTGTCTAACTCAAGATGACCGCACAGCCATGCGCACCGCGCCATTGTCTGCCAGCTGCCTGAAAGAAATAGCTCGGACAGTCTCGGTCCACTCCGGGCCGCCAGGCACGCGAAAAACGAACATGCGTCCGAGCAGTCCCGGACAAGTGCGTGGAGCTTCCGGTTGGTTCCAGAGAAAAACGAATGCGGCGCCGGCGGCCGGGGCCGTCCGGGTCGTGTAAATCGATGAAGCCCACTGCTGCGACTTTGGGTAGCATGGTCCGGACCGGATCCATTCGAGTTTTAGGAGAAGACGAGTAGAGGAGCCGGAGCTGGTAACAGGAACGTTCATTTATAGTATTTACACGTTCAAGGTAGTGTGAAAAGGAAGCATGTCTGAGCGCCTATGAGCTCGCGTTTTGCAGCCCACGTCAAGGTTTCCTGGAACAATTGAGTCCAATCCCTGCCGATCACTGCTTCCCTCCCAGTTCCTCCCAACGTCGCCTCGCACCCAGTTCGTCCTATGGCGAGAGAGAAGCGCGGAAGCAAACACAAGGCGATTATACGGCACGACACAGTACAGTGTAATGACGCGCAAAGTTGACTCCTCGATGTGGCATCGGTGCGGGGAAGGCCGCGGTGTGCGAGAAGACTTGATTGCCTCAAAGAATGTAGGAAACGTCCTCGAAGCCCGCTCTCAGACGCTCGGCTCACTGCCCGGTGCACCCTGCTGAACAAAGCAGCGTAGAAGTGACCAGCTTTTCCCAAGCAGTTCAAGCTGCAAACAGCCTTCCCAAGCCATCATACAGTCGAGCGTGTACGCTTTGCCGAGGTCAACTGTCGTGTTGATGCTGTTTCAGACGTTTCTCTTGGCTTCTAAGAAGGGCTTGGCCAACGACAACTTCGTGGCATATTGCAAGAGTTTCCGCATCCATTGCAGTCCGAAGACCCCATGGCATTTGGGTGAGACAACAGTGGCGAATTCGGAACAGTGCAAATAAATATGTCAAACACTATAGTTGCTTTGTTGGTTTCAGCCACGCGCCACAAGTGCGATCTGTGCACTTTCTTTCCTCACTTGTCAAATTGAGCCGCAGAGTAATCATTCGCTTTGTCTGAACGTAATAAAATATTATCCTAAATTATATTTTGGCCCAGCGGGAGATGTGTAGATACGTGTACGAACTAACACAGGCATTTTAGTCAAAACCTCGAGACAACCATTGACTGATATGTGGGGTTTAACGTCCCAAAACCACCATATGATTATGAGAGACGCCGTAGTGGAGGGCTCCGGAAATTTCAACCACCTGGGGATCTTTAACGTGCACCCAAATCTGAGCACACGGGCCTAAACATTTCCGCCTCCATCGGAAATGCAGCCGCCGCAGCCGGGATTCAAGCCCGCGACCTGCGGGTCAGTAGCCGAGTACCTTAGCCACTAGACCACCGCGGCGGGGCTCGAGACAACCATACTCGCCATTTATTAACCATGTCAACATGTCCTCGAAAAATTTCATTGACTGTTTCGACGCTTTGCCACACAATTGTCCCCGAAGAGCAAGCAGCAATGTCAATCAAGTTCATTAGATCATCCCTTGTTCAATGCTCTACAGCAATGCCCAAGCAAATGCATTTTTTTCCATCAGCACATCAGGATTGTCCAACCAACCTACTTTTCGAACAGTAAACTCTAAGCGGCGATTCTTATAGTGCTGTCGGATTGTAAGCCCCCCCCCCCCCCCCATTGATTGATTGATACGTGGGGTTTAACGTCCCAAAACCACTATATGATTATGAGAGACGCCGTAGTGAAGGGCTCCGGAGATTTAGACCACCTGGGGTTCTTTAACGTGCACCCAAATCTGAGCACACGGGCCTACAACATTTCCGCCTCCATCGGAAATGCAGCCGCCGCAGCCGGGATTCGAACCCGCGCCCTGCGGGTCAGCAGCCGAGTACCTTAGCCACTAGACCACCGCGGCGGGGCAAGCCCCCCCCCATGTATATATATATATATATATATATATAGAGAGAGAGAGAGAGAGAGAGAGAGAGGGGGGGGGGGCAAGTAAAAAGTGTTTTGCAGCCAAAACGTTGCTTTACAAGTGGTGGAGGTCATTTTCTCCTCTACTTATCGTCAGCATCCTGATCGTTTCGACGAAGTTGTGACGTGTATTTCTGATGCTGGACTTCAGCTAACACAAATAAATGCCATTTCGCCAACAAGAACATCAAGGTGTAGGGCCACCTTGTCAGCAAAAATGGCGTTCGGCCGGATCCTGACAAGCTTGCTGCTGTGATACGCTTCCCTCGGCCAGAAAATCAGAAACCCTGTGGGAATCAAGAGCGCCCTCCTACCTGGCGCCTCGCTCCCCAGTTGCCACGCGTGCACCGACGGCGTAGCCCGGGCGCGCATAAGCACCGGCATCCACCAAGATGGCTGCCGGGGCGCCTCTTTGTCTGGGCAAGTCAAGCATCGGCTCCGTCCCGCGCTGGCATGTCCAGGCACGCTACGCTGGTGCTCTGTGCGGGCATACGTCACAACGCAACGCCATTTCCCTTTGGGCCACGTGGGGCCGCGCGTGACATCCTCCTCTCCTACAAGCTATGGTTGCGCCCGACGATTCACTTGTCGCGGCAGATGCTCGATTCGCTCGCAGGATTTCAAGCTGGATGGTCGTGCCCTCGCGATCTACGACGCTAGCGTAGCTCCCACCGACTGGTTCGCCCTCCGCGGTCTCCTGACGCCGTACAGCGCTCGTATTTTGGTGCCCCGCCCTTGGACTGCTTCGACCGAATCGCCTCTTTCCTATCTCCTTCTATTTTCCGTCGCTTGCCCCTCTATTTCTTCATCTATTTCCTTCTATTCTTTTTATCCCTCCTTATCCCCACCACTTCAAGGCACTGCGCCATGTCGCCTATAGGCAGACAGAAATTAGGTGCCTTTTTCCTCTTCCTTACGAGCCACTACTACCACCGGCAGATGCTCTCAGGCCTCCACGAGGGGTTAACGCGCTGCTTAGCAGGCGGCTTCTCGTTCGTGCATTCGACTTCGGCCCTTGTGCGGGAGTCGTCGCGCCCTAAGCAAGCGTACTTGCTTGGTCTTGCGGAGTTCCCTGTGCGGCCTGCAAGCCCGCGAATGCCGCACTGTGCTGCATATTGGGTTAATAAACCCGTTGTTCTTGTTTTCCTGCCTCGTGCGTGGTTTCTGCGCCGTGTCGGAGAAAACGACGAACTCGGCCGCAGCGTCGTCGCGCGCAGCGGCAAATGAGGA